AGGAAGAAAAAATTGATGAAAATAGTTGTGATGAAATAAACCCTAAAGAGAACAACGAGACCCTTTTTCCTGATCAAATATTTGGCTCCACTAGAAAAACAGTGTAGCAGAACAAAAAATTTAATAAAAAAATATTGTTAATAATAAAAATCAAATATTTTAAGTTACTAACATAGATACGCAAAAAAAGGAATAACAATCGAGGTTGTAGAGTAATGGCCATGTTACCACATGGCTTTCCTTTAGGAAGGACAACCCAATGCTAGGGTTGCAAAAGTTAATCCACAAGAAATTGATTAAAAATTAACATGGGAACATGTTCAAATTGATAAGGCTAATGATCTAATTATTCCTTTCTTTGAAGTAGAGTCACTTCAAGTAAGAATAAATTTTGCTGAACTATATCTGACACCTAATATTATTGGGCTTATAGTCGCTGAAACGAATCACTATGTTCAAGATTTTCTAAATGAACCCAGTTAAAGCCAGGAATGAATATGTAGGAATTTGGGTAGCGGTAACTGTTTTAAGAATAAAGTTTAAAAATATACATAAACCTAATATTTATATGTATTGGTCTTCATCTGAGTTTTTTAACACTCTAATATTTTCTTAAATAATGTCACGCACTCGCTTTCAACTGATTTTGAAGTTTTTACCCTTCAACAATAACAATGTTAAAAAAAAAAAAGTTATGATGTAAATGACGAAAACCATGATCGGTTACACAAAGTACAACCATTAATAGAACTAATTAAAGACAGACCGTTTTCCGACATGTAACTGGAAAATCTAAAATAACATTCCTAGATTTCTTGCATGACATTGTTTTATCTTTACTACTAATCAACGCAGCTATACCAGATACTAAATACTAGACAATACAATGTCTCGTCTTACTGGCAGACATTTCTCTTCACTAAAAGGAGCTTCTCCAGATGCAACAGATAAAAGACCAACCAAAAGATGTAGAGTGTGCTATGCAACAGGAAAACTATGACCTAAATGTCAACCACTGAAAAATACATGTTTGTCGATTTTACCCACCTGAACCAGGTCTTCACCTAGATATTTGTTTTAAAACTTACCACACTAAACTTGAATATTTACTGTAGTTTGTTTTGTTTATATAAATAGATTTAATCTTTTATCTGACAATTAATTTTTTGTTTATGTTACAAATATAATAAAAAAATCTATATTAAAAATAACATGTTTTTAAAAAATCTCAAATTTTTAGAATCTTTCCTTTTTCTATAGTTTTTATGATAAACATTTAATTTTTTCTATATAAACTAGTAAAGTGATTGCCAAACTGTTTTTGAATAAGTTTTATTTGTTTGTTACATAATATTTTGATTTATTTATGCATTTTACTGCAAAAAAGCAAAATTTTAATTTATATCGAAGGCTGTTTTTTAAATCGTGTGACGTCTTACAAGTGTGATAAATAATTTTTTTTCAATTATTATATTTAATCGATATGTTAGTAAAAAAGGGGCTATGTTTTACAGATATTTGTTCATTATTTTAGTCACTGCAAGGTTTTAAAGTGTTTGAGTCAGAAACAGGAATTTTGACACTGGGAATATAGCGGTTAATATCCCGGGAGTGAAAGGGTTAAATATTTGGATGAAGGTCAAACTAAATTATTTCGTTATACAAAAGTTTGTTTTTGCATATTTTCTTTTTTTAGCCTCAAAATACTCAAAACCTTATTTAACTTGAAACAAATTTTGGACTTTCCTTTTTTAAAGCTCCTTATGTAAAATTTGTGTCAAAATGTATTGTTTAATTATCATCAGGAGCAAATAAGGAACAAGCAAAGTTAGATTAACCCTCTTCAGCATTATTTACCCAAAATCGCTCCTAAATGTCTATTTTGATTTCAAAAACATTTTGTTTGCTAAAATTTCAATTAAACTTTTTTTAAGTACACTTTAGCTCAGAAATTAATTTTGTTAAAATTTATTATTAGTAATGACATGGTTGGCCTTTGTTGGGTGGGAGAGGATTAGGAAAGAATGAGGGTGGATGTATTATCTAAGACTTTTAATTTTTTTATTATGCTTTGAGCACTTTATAATTATTAAGTTTCTGTTATATTCTTTCTATCATAGTAAAAAAGTATAAAAGTATTGCATAAAAAGATGATTGCTTCAAACAAAGCAACATGCTCAACTACAAATGTTTGGCTAGTTGGACATATTCTTTCCCTAATAGATGGACCGAGTCAGTTACCAGCAAATGGTGTTGCACTATGTAGAATTTTTTATGAAATGATTGTCAAAAAGTCAACTCTTTTAATATCCTACTACACATTTGCAGACAAAGTTATGATTTTCTGGCTTAAGGCTAATATTCCAACTACAGCAAAGCTTCATGTAGTTGCTAAACTAAAGAGTATTTACAAGCAACATGTTCAAGTGTCTAAGCAGAAAAATAGAAATTCAGCTACTCAACACAGCTATAAAGAAGAACTCACCACCAAGATTTCTAC